TGGCATTTTCAAAGCTTTCAGTCACGGTCTTTAGCTCACTCTCCAACTGTCCCACTTTGGCCTTCAGAGTCCTGTTTTCAGCGAGCAGCAGCAAAGACACCTGGGAGAAAACGGTGCAGATCTTTCTTGTTGCCTCACATGCTAACATCTCCAGAGTGCTGTCAAAATCCAACTGTGAGGATTAAAAAAAACAGAGGAAACAACATTTATTTAGGGACTAAACCAAAGCACATGTTATCAGTGTAAACACAACATCAGATACATTTACTGCCATCAGTAGAGCTTGTATGAAGCGTTATGATAAAAATCATAATCACAATTACTTCACTACTTATCACTGACTGCGTGATAAGTAAATATTGAAAGAAAAGCGAGAATTATCGCAACACATCACTGTTTAATCACTACAATCTTGTTTTAAAAACTGCCGGAAGTTAAAGCTAACTGCGCAGCCCTGGAAATATTTGAACAAAGTAAAAGCAAAAATTAAAACCTAGTACTATAATCTAGCTCCTGTAATCTTACTATAACATTCACTTTATTAAAAAAACAAAACAAAACAAAAAACAGATTTTTTTCTTTTAAGCTAGCTTTAGCTTGACGAACGTCCGCCATCTTTGTTTTGCTTGGCGTCGTTGCCCTTCATCGTGATTTTACTCCATCCGTCCACTCTCACCCGAACACAGCGTCTCTGGCGTTTTTAACGTATCTGGTGTGCGTTGATAATAAACCGGATCTCAAAAAAACACTAACCGCTGACTTACCTTACGGTTCATAGTCTGTTCCTCTGCGTCGTTTTCTACTTTGGAATTTCCAATAACATCGACAGCGACCCGGATAACCGTCTCCATGATACACTTTGTTTCTGAATAAAACACCAAGTTTTCTGACATTTTCCCTCTACGGATAAAAACTGTTCGCTACAAGCGCAGAGAACTTGCCACTGTGTTAGCCCCATTCATTCAGGAAATGGAAGTAGTCCAACTGTAGAAATTTCAAAATAAAACTCATACAAAGCGCTTTGACTGCAAATGTTATTTAATTGCAATTTCGAGCAAGAAAAATAGACATATCTCAGAACTGAAATATAAAGTTATTAGAAAGTCACTTTACACTTCGACTTCTATTTTAAAAATGATTACACCTTTCACTGGGATTTTTGGGAATTCACAAAACATAAATTACTACTTTAATTCTTAAAAAAAAAAAAAAAAAAAAAAAAAAAATCAATTAAAATGCCCAAATTTTCACTTAAATTTCAACAGGCAAAAACTCCTACATTACCTTCAGAACATTTGAAGATGTATCCTACCTTAATATCTCAAATTTTAGGTATCATACAAGTAACTTTCATGTTTCACCAGATTTTTAAACAGCTGAAGTTAAAGAAAAAATAATAATAATACAAAACATAAATGCCACAACAATACTGCTAACCTCTACTGATCAAAAAGCTGATATCGTATTGACAGCTATTAAATCACGCTTAATCAGTCCCTTAACTCTAACATCTAAAGGGTGAGAGGTGCCAGTGTTATAGCTGTTTTTCACACCCACTTTTCCCACATCATAAGGACGAATGCACAGATCAGTATCAGCTGATATCAGCAAACACAAGGACATTTATCTACATCAGTGTCTGTCTTACATTATATTAGGCTGGCATAAAACTTTAGTCGAGTTATTTGTTGATGCCCAGATTAGTTAACATTAGTTGGTTTTAACATAGTTGCTGGTCCAGGATTTCACCAAAACTTTAATACCTCTTCAATCACAGGTAACCCTACCAGCTCTCCCCAGTACATTTTATTAAGTTATTTCTGTGTCACACTGGAGCCGTTTTCATACACGCACTGCAGCTTGCAACTGATTTCCTAGTTGATTAAACTCGAGAATAGAAGACAACTAGTCGACTAATCTGATGGATGAAGATAAACATCAATCTTACAAATGTTGTATTTGTATTAAAGAGCCATTTGAACCAATTAACAAATTCTTTAAATGCCACTGAAATGTGTGACACCGTGTAAAACTTTGCTCAGTTTTTTTGCAGACTTGCTGCATAAGGATAAGTCAGAAATTCCTTAACAAAAATTAGTGGGAGGATTTTGCAAAGCCAGAGGTCCAAAGAGCCAATCAACAGCTGTACACCAGCAGCCACATGTGTTTACTCATTACTGTAGCAAATCTGTAGTTTAGCATACTTGTGGGTTATATCTAGAGTTACTGTTTGCATTTTGAATCAACTCAGAGCTGTCTGGTGGCAGAAAACAAACTCTGGCTTGAAACGTTGAGCAAACACCGAGCTTGTAAAGCTTTTAGTACCAATTTTCTTAATGTGACAGGTGAGTCAATAAATGTACCTTCAAAATAAAAGCCCAGATTCATCCAGAGGTGGCTGTGAAACCTTGTAGAAGCACTTTTTTTTGTTTCTTTCATGCCTGTGCAGAATGTGCTTATGCATCGCCCCAGTCAGAGTTTGATCTGACACAACATATAACCGTTCCTGTAGCACAAAGTCGTACAGCACTGTGCTGATTAGCGGGGCTGTCATCCATCTTTCAGTCACACAGAGACATCGAGAGCTGAAATACAGTGCCGTGTGAGACCCAACAGCTAACTGGCATTAAATGAACAAAAGATAACGTTAGTTTAAATGATTAATATTGCCGGCACCTTTTAGAAAGAGCAGCAACATTCAAACATCTACTCTATTAACCAAGGACATGCCAAGATCAGTACCTCTTCTGGGTACTTTTTGTTATACCCATGTGCAAATTGTAACCAACCTCCAGGGGGCACTGTCTCACTATGTTTTAAGACGTGAGCTGCTCTTCTTCTAACTTTCGATATTTCACATTTTCCTCAAGAGGCTTTGCACTTTCAAGGCTGCCGCTGCCTCGTAATGATTTGCCTGGTTTACTCGCTGCATCGGCTCACGGTACAAATTCACACTACACAAAAGTACGACCCCAGCTGATCCCTCTTTAACACAGTACTCAGATGTTTCAGACATGAAGTCACAACAGCTGTTTTTTTAACATTTTGTTAACTGTTCTAGTTGATGTTCGACGGTTTTAACCAAGAATTTACAGAAAGAGCACTGTTAAAAACCACCAAGGTCAGTAGGATTAGGGTTAAGCTGCACAAGCATACAGATGTTACAAACTTCAACCCTACGGCTAACCAAAAGCAACGACCAGGTGGCTGAAGAAGAGGTTAACTGATGGAGGTGCTTGATGCAGTCTGTGCAGTATAGAGTCCACATGATGTGTGATGGGATGCATGTGAGAGAAGAGCAGACAATTGTCCAGTGAATTCACAGCGAGTGAATCGAGGTCAGGCGTCCGGTCTGTGGCCAGGGGGCATCCTGCACTTCACTAAACTGCCAGTTTCTAGAAAAGCGAAGCAAATAATTTCCTGCTCAGTGCTGCAGTTAAACTACAGATGGCCCCGCCTGATTCTCTGGACTTCATGTATGAAAACAACTTTGTTCAGCTAAGCAAAAAGGCACCGGGCCATGGGTAACTAATGCCTCCATTTCATTTATTAGTCCTACTTGCCATCAGGTGATAGCAGCCCCGCGTCACCTACGACCCGTCACAGCTGTGCTTCTTGAGCTGCCGTGAATCAGAGAAGCCTCGGCCACACTGCTGGCAGGAGTAGAGCTTCTGCCCTGTGTGGATTTGCAGGTGGGACTTGAGCTGATTGGACTGGTGGAACTTCCTCTGACAGTACACGCACTCGAACGGCTTCTCCCCCGTGTGGATCCGCATGTGTCTGTAGAAGTTGCCGTCCGTTCTGAAGGCCTTGCCGCACTGGTCGCATTTGTACGGCTTCTCGCCCGTGTGAATGCGCTCGTGCTGCTTCAGACTCGCGGCGTGGAAAAAGCGCTTCCCGCACACGTCGCAAACGAACGGCTTCTCGCCCGTGTGGCTCCGCTGATGATAGCTGAAAGAGTATTTGTTGTGGAAGGACTTCCCACAGATGCCGCAGTTGAACTCCTTGTGCTCGCTGTGGCCTTTTTCGTGAAGTTTGAGCGAGCACGCGGCGCTGAAACCCTTCAGGCATATTTTGCAGCTGTACGGTTTAACCAGCGACTTGTTCTGCCGTCGGGTCTGGAAGAAATTCTGCGTGCCGTCCGACTGCTCGCTCCTGTCGGCGTGCACGTACCTCTGATGTATCTGCAGCCTGCAGTTGAACAGGAAGGTCTTCCCACACAGATCGCACATGAACGGCTTCCTGGCGCCGTGGATGAGCATGTGGGACTTGAGCTTGTTGTTGTCTGAGAAGCTCTTGCCGCACTCCTGGCAGCTGAATGGCTTCTCTCCCGTGTGGATGCGAAGATGCCTTTTCAGGTTGTTATTCAAGCTGAACCTCGCTCCACATATGTGACAGGTGAAGGGCTTCTCTCCCGTGTGGACCACGCTGTGTCTTTTCAGAGCCGTGCCGGTCCTGTATGACCTGTTGCACACGGAGCACACGAAGGGACTGTCGCCTGTGTGCTTCCTCTTATGCACAGTCAGCGAGTGGGCATATTTGAAGGTCTCCTCACACATTGTGCATTTATACTTTTTGGTGTTTGTGTGAACCATCTGGTGGAAGCGAAGCGTGTCTTTGCTCTTGAACTCCTTCCCGCATGTCACACAGCTGAAGGGCCTTTCTTCCGAGTGCACGGCCATGTGACACTTGAGCTGAACCGACGTCTTGCAGGTCTTGTCGCAGAGCTGGCACTTCAGCAGCTGCTTCCATTTCTCGTGGCGCAACAGGTGGTTTTCCAGAGACTGCTTGATTCGGAACGTTTTCCCGCACTGATCGCAGGAGAACGGCTTCGGAGGCTTCGACCGCTGGTGCCGCTTGAGATGGTTCTGAAGCGACTCCTCTTTCCTGTACGATCGTTTACACTGAGGGCACGGGAAGGGCAGCGGGGCTTTCATTGCCTCGTGGCGCAAAACGTGATTTTCCAGAGACGCCTTCTCTAGGAAACTCCTGCCACACTGATCGCAAGGAAAAGGCTTCTTGTGGACCTTCATGTGTTTCTTCAGTTCGCCTTTCCAGTGAAAACCGAGGTCGCAGTGCTCACAGAAGAACCGCCTCGCTGTCTGCGAATCCGTCTTTCTCAGTCGTCTGCCGGGCTCTTCAGCTGACTTGCTTTGTTTCTCCTCGCTGCCGTTGTCAACGGAAACTGGAAATTAAGGCGCAAATGTACAGATCGTTATTATCCATTTCCACCCACACAACCCCCTCCTAAATCTCAAATCAACATGTTTATAGTCACATCTGAAAGCAACACCGGTACCTGCTTCACTATTAGCAGCTGCTCTTCTCGTTCGTCTTGTCCTCCCTGAAGCTCCTCCTTCCAAAGACTTCTGTGACACAACAGAATAAATCTGAGTTTGCATGAAAAGACTTTCCAAGCATCTCAACTAAAACATCCTGACACGCTGAATGCAGCTGACAAGAATTAGGATCTACTGTTTTCCAAATGGAGACATGAATGTGTCAAACAGAAACATCTGACCTTCTCCTGTGTCGAGTCGAGACCGCTGACAGTACTGGAGTCGGGACTGGGGACATTTTGAGGTGTAGAGCCCGGCGAGGCCGCCGGTTTGAGCACGATTGCTGCAGCTCCCGTCGTTTCTGAGACGGCCGATGACTGCGCTACGATTTGGCTGGCACCAACCAACAGCACCGTGGGAGCGGAGCTGACTCTGCCCACGAGCACCATGGGGGCGACCGCAGCTTTGGGGACGGTCACCGATGCAGCCGTGGAGGTGGGGACGACTTCAGCAGCTCCTGCAGAAATGGGCAGCGGGTCTGGATTCGATTCTTCTGCAGCCGATTCTGGGGCGTCTGGACTGGTGGACACTGACAGCACAGGACCTCCTGCATTTAAAGACAAAGTTACACATGAACTCACTGCCTGAGTGGAGCTGCACTTGACTACTTGGCTTCTTCTTCTATGAAATATATGATAATCGACATTATGTTTAACATGTTTATCATCATCCCAAAAACTCTAATTTATTTGTTATTTAGTTGAACTCGAGCTGAGATGACTTGCTAAAGAGGTTCGATCTAGAAAGTCACAAAAAGGTTTCCACATCAGGAACAGCTGCCCCTGTAGATGAGCTTTAAAATAAACGTTTACCTACATGATTAACTGGTGTCCCCTCCAAAATTCCCTTTTTCCAACCATATTTTTCTTTAATTTGATTTACATGTTGAGTTCAAAGGGAAGAGACATGGTTTTAAATTCAATAACAGCATAAATAAACAGGCAGGATTATAATCCTGAGATAAATAAACACAAAAAGGAGACAGAACAAAGCCTCGCTACTAAAACTGTGTCTGAATGGATCAGATGTACAAGTGATTCACTTTTAGAAACTGAATCACTTGGCTTATTGTAAATTTTGCTGCATATTGCACAATTAATCAGCACACCAATTACAAAAAGGACTCTGCCTCGAGGCCCAGTTTGAAGCTCGTGTGTTAAACTAACAGCATGTGGGGTTAAAACTTTAATCATATGTGCACATTTTCAGCTATATCAACTTTTGTAGCAGGAAATTAACTAGACATATAATTATTTTCTTTCTTTCTTGCCATATTCTTAACCCTATATTTGACAACAGCAAAATTAAAATGGGAAATTATGTTTCTGGTGTGCCACCCCAATATTTTTAGTGGCCCCCATATGGAGAAACGAAACATGAAAATGAGAATGCGTAGCGTGTGTATAGTCATATATCTGGCCCTTGATGTGATCTGAACTTCCCGGGTGAATTTGAGAAAATACCCCCCAACTCAAAGATGATCCTTCAGAAATCAATCTCGATCAGAATGATTGATCGATTAGTTGATATGTGACTGCTTCTCACCCATCACTGAGCCGTCTTGCAGCAGGACGTGAGTCGGGCCCTCGCTGATGGTCTTCAGCTCCTTCTCCAGCTGCTCCATGTCTCTGCCCAGCTGCCCCACTCTGGCCTCCAGCTCCTGCTCGAGCTGCCCGGCTTTCCTCTGGAGCACGTCCTCCAGCTGCTCCACTTTGGCCCGCAGAGCCTCGTTCTCCTCGAATAGCTCCGAGGAGAACTCCGTAAACACTTTGTGGATCTGCACCACCAGAGACTTCTCTATCTCTTGGATCTCGCCCATCCTCGCCTTTTCCCACTCCGTGTTTGGCGCCTCTTTCGCCAACACATCCCTGAAGACAGACAGAGTCGCCTGGATGGCCACTTCCACAATCGACGCCACTTCGCTGCCGAATCTCGGCTCCATGTTTGTTCACACAAACTCTCCGCCTGCTGTGTCCGAAACTCCGCAGCGCATTTTGAGCCCCAGTGAGGGGTTAAACCGGGTCCAGCTGGACTCAAAACACAACACTCCTTCTTCCGTATCAACCGTCCCGTCCTTTCGTTCCCTGTGCACCTTTGAAAACCTTCCGTGTTGCATTTCCGCCTCCGGGGCCACACACGCTTAGAAAATAAAAGCCCCTTCTATCTACTTCTCGTTTATTCAACTAAGATTCTAACTTAAAATAACTAAAATAAAAAGTAGCAGCTTTTTTTTTTTTTTAATTAAAAGTTTCAGTGAATTTCCGAGATAATGATTTTATTAATTCATAATATTCAAGTGAATGTTTTACACTTTTGTGCATAAAAGCCCCAAACACATTCAAATT